CCGTATAAATTTGTTAGATTACGTTTCCAACTTTCCTGGGTGTGCAAAGAAGACACCAGGAGACATCTGACTTTGTAGGCTCTTCCCTCGTCCACTGGTTTGGATGCGATTTCTACTACGATTCGTTTTCCTTAATTTTGTTTTGATTTCTTTCGTTAGAGGAGCTACGTAGCGGAATAAAGCTTGGAGACGGCTTGAATGGGTAGCGAAATAAACTTTAATTACAAATGTACAACGTTTCGACAAGCTTACGTCATTATTAGGTGCCTCTGATTTTGGTGATGACATAAGCTTGTTGAAACGTTGTACATTTGTAAAAACACAACAAAAAACGTTTCTCCTGTTACCCATTCAAGTCGTCTCCAAACTATATTTTCGTAGCAGAATCACCTCATTCGATAAAGTCTCAACTGCCACCCCTCCCCCAACCTCTCTACGGCGGCTCAGAGGAAAGATTATAGGCGTGTAACGCTACAAACCGGGTTTCGATACCTGAAGCGAACACAAAACTTATAGACCACTGTGTAGCTTTACGCTTGACCAAAAAAAAAAACAAGACAAGAGATTCGGTTTTCTGATGTAAAAAAAATCCTTTTTTTTTTGTCTCTTTGTATGGATACCAATTTCAGGTAGAGTTACGCGTATTTGCCGTACATTCAACCTGTTATGTAATAAATAATAACAAAATCCAGTCTAAGATCGAAGAAAGAAAGTAAATAAGAACTCGTATAACGAGTAGGAGGGTTATGTGCACAGGTGAGAAATAATTTAACCCTTTTTCCTATCGGCAGGACCTCGAGGAAGTGACGTCACGTGACGCAAGTTTGATCCTATTAAGGTCTCAGCCGATTGTTAGGCTTAATTTGGACATGTCAGTTATATCCCTTAGGCGAGAAAACTTGTCTGTCAACTATACGCATGCTTGAGTTATTCGTTGTTAGATTCCTACACTAGCAAGCACCCCACATTTCAGCTTGTTACTACTTCTGTGAGCACGTCAATGTTTAATATCGCAAAAACAAACACAAACTGGATTTGATTCAAGTTAGTGAAGTTTAGAATCTAAGTCCCTACTGAAAATAATTTATAATGTGTTGTGTAGGGACTAGAACTTAAAATGGGAAAATAATTTTAACTCTTTATTCAAGAGTTAAAGGTCAATGTCTGAGACTCTTGGGGTTCAGGCATTGCCGTTCCTAATGTAGGATCTGTTGATCACAGGAAGAGCAAAGAGCCAACAGCACTCGCCGCCAGCGTTGCTACTCTTACCAGTTGACTATGTTAACGCGCCAACAACTGGAAGTGCGAGATGTGTTAAATATCATATCACGTCTCGAGTTTCAAATTTTCCAATAAGCAGCCTAACGTGCCAACATGCCCGAGTATCTTTTGTGAATATTTAAACAAATACGACCGTGTTTTTTGTTGTTTTTTGCTTTTTATTACGAAAATAATCTTGTATATATATATATATATTCCGTATACGTATTAAAAATCACCTGGTGGTTGATTACCAAACTTCGAATACATCATAGTATGAACACTTTAGTGGCGTATCTTAACACAAGGTTCACCTGCGTGACGTGTTAGTACTTTACATTTTATACTTATTAAAAGCGGGGGGGTTAAATTCTCAAAAGAAAAGTAGAAGTACTCAGCTGGGTGAAGTGAACCTCTTTCTGAAAAATAAAAAAAAATCTAAACACTAAAAAAAACAACAACACACGACAATACATGCAGCTTAAATAAGTCCCTGTACTAGTACCTCCTTAATAAATAAGTTCCGGCAGAATTTCACCCCCCTGAATAAAAGTATCTAAACTATGACGTTAACTAATAATTGCTATAAACGAAAGAAACAGATAAATGTATTTGAGCTTTATATTAAAGGTTAACATAATAGCATGATGTAAAGTTAACCTTACAACCCCACCCCTCCCCCTTTTAAGGCACTTGGTTAAGAAATTTTAAATATGTAGGCTGTCTCGTTGACACGTTATGGGTGGGGCAAATATTCGTAATAAATGTACTTGTTTCTTTTAGGTGTCTCCACGCACGACAACTTCTCATAGGGTTGGTTGGTTGTTTGTCTTATCGTACACCAGGTGGCTAGAAATGTTACTCCAAATTTTGTTACCCCGAGAGTTGCATTCTGTCCTATGGAGGTGGTGGGGTGGTACTCGTTGACCGGTTGAAGGTATGTATTGAATTCTTTTTCATTTAGAATGTCTGATTTAATGTTAGTTTCTTAAGTTTACACGTACACGTGATTTATTTTAACATTTTTTAAACTCTGTTTTGTTAAGCCTTAAACTGTATCAGTCACTTTAAAGCTTAAAAGAAATAACAGATGTGATTTGTTTTATTTAAAGGAATTTTTATTTGACAATGTTTTTTTTTTTTTTTTGTTAAAGGCAGGATAACGTCATAACACCTTATAAAATTCACTAAACCGTAAACGAAACCAAAACCTACCACTTAAGTTCTATGTTGAGATATTTCTTTTCTCGTTCTTCAATTTAATGTATTTATTTTATTATCATATTTAATAAGCTTGAATTTATATTCATGTTTTTTCTCTTTTTTTATTGTTACTTAATTAGTAAACATTACAAAAAATAATACAATGTGTCTGAAAATTAATCATTAACTTTCTCAGTGACTACTAACGTTATATTACCGATGGAGGAGATGGGTAGAGGGGTGGGGGGGGTTCTGTGGTTGGCCACCGTTGGTATGGCATTCGATGCATATTTTATTTTCAAGCGACTTTATATAGAAAAGTTGTTTGAATGTATTTAAGTACTCTCGAAGTTCAACCACACTAATGGCTAATCACTGCAGTTTGATCATCAGATTTTCTATATAAGGGGATAAATATTATATGTAGTCTGAAAATTTTGTACCTTGCTTGATTATTCCAACGCCTACGTTAGATAAATTGTATAGGGGCTTATTTGTATGATCGTTGTGTGTGTGCTAAGCCTAAAGAACAGAAGAAGACTGACGACGTATATGGAAGGAAGTTTAAAATAATTGTCTTGAGAAAAAAAAAAAACACTTAATTTCGGAGAAGTCATCCATAACGAATTAACCATGTGAAAAGTACATGAATTTAAGAAAGAACGTATAGGACTATTTATTACTTTTATTTGTTTTATTTCCGTGTTGATGGTTCGCTTTAACCTTCTAAAATATTTTGAGAATAAGAAAGTAAAATTCTATTAAGGATCACCCACATTAGTGGCCAAGACAGAGTACCGTATTTCCTTTTCAGCTCGTGGGGAGGCGTGAATATCGATAAAAACTTCTTATTGTTTAAAATTACAGGAAAATTTGGTACTTGAAACACATAAAAAAAAAAAAAAGTCTAGATACTAATGATTAGTACAATTGAATTATTAACAGATGAAGTGTGGGTTTAAGATTGTTAAAAAAAATAAAAACACAGCGCTGAAATAAACAAAACTTTGGTAAGACTTTCCAGCTGTTCTTCCGAGTTGTTCAGTCTAAGGCAGAGATTCCCAACCTTTTTGTTCCTGTGTACCCTTTGGCGTTGGGCATTCTGACAGGTTCCCATGTACCCCTAACAATTAAGGATCAAAAATTGATAAAATTATATTGATTTTATATTATTTTATTATGAAATCTGTATGTGTGGACTGCATAAGGATCTTATAGTATTGATAACACCGATAAATTGAACTCGGCGTATATTTATGTGAACCACTTTGCTCTCTTTGTCTGACTGTATATTAAAACACCATGTAAATGTAAACCATGGTTATACTCTCAGACCCCTATGTACCTCTGAAAAGTGCAAATGTGCCCCTGGGGGTACATGTACCTCAGGTTGGGAAACTCTGGTCTCAGACAATAAGGATATGGTAGTTTGTCGATATTATAATAAATTTGTATTTTGATGAAATTAGTAATATAATCAGAAAATGTTATTTTTAGTTTATCCTCTGCTTAAGAGTATTCGTGTAGGAGGCAGCAGGTGCTTCCAACCGATTCCCTTGCCCTTGGTCAAGAGTTCTAAACAAGGGATGGCTATCTGTGAGCCTCTCACCCGGCTAGTTAGTCCCTTGTGTCACATAAAGTATTGTTCAGATTTCAAGTACCAAATCTCAGTAGTTGTGTAGTCTCTGGCAAAGGGTAAAATGTCGAAAAATAATGAGAATATGTTAACCACACACTATATGCCGTATCCAGTGCCAACGAAGCCTTTCGCACAATACCAGGGCTCATCAGGATACAGCAGGCACAGTAGTAGTCGAGACTTTATATTATCGAAATGTATGAACAACAACTGTTGTGGTATGAACAACAACTGAGGTGGTGGAGTGATCAGACCACAATAGGGTGAGGATTAATAATAGAATATTATTAAATACACCAGTTATTATTTTATTTTTACTTGAATTAACTTTATTAATCATTCAGAAAACTAGTGGTTGATACAGGTAACAGTTTCAGCTCCAAAATCAAATGTTAAATAACAACGAACTTGTGATTCCGACATACGCAACAGCCTAAGCTCTGTAAACGATTATTAAATCCTAATAACCTGGCCTTAAAAGCGTTGGCTAAACCCTAATGTCTCAATATCTCTGGCCTTGGACAGAGACAAATCGAGCTGAATGATAGAATGAGCTTCATATCCAATCAGTGACCTTGGGATGAGAAATAAATTATTGTTTAAACAACAAAAGCTCATCACATAAAATCTTCCTATAGTACGCCAAGCTATTTTTAACACGATATTTATTTGTATGAAAATAGTAGATACGAAGTATTCTTACTCTGTTTTAGGCATTCCTCTGTGTGTGTGTGTCCACCGCAAAATCATAGACGTTTAACATTCGAGTTTAGAGCCCTGATTGGATATGAAGCTCATTCTATCATTCAGCTCGATTTGTCTCTGTCCAAGGTCACTGATAGATTGGGCTACGTGTTTATTTTAGTACCTTCAACAGCTTACCTGCTAAATAATTTGGAATGATTAATAAGTGGCATCAGTACTAGATATTTTTCATATCCAGTACAAATATAGATTCACCGTAGTTAGTAAAAATATAACTTAAAAAAAACGCACATATAATTAAACTATAATTTAAAATTATCACTCATTTATAATTAAAGGTAAAATTTGATTATGTAGTTTTGCGCTTAACTACAAACAAAGCAACCCTCTTATTTAGAGCTGTCCCTCGTAGCTTTTGATGCGAAGAATAAAATGAATAAAGATTTGTAACTTTATGAAAGCATATTTTTATTTTTCGAGAGGTTCCAGTCAAGTGGCACGTGCATGTGATTTTTGCATACGATGGAAAGTAATAAAGGGTACGCCAATCACGAACATCACGAGACATTTCGTGCGCACTTAGTGTCACTGCAGCTCGAGTTTAATTTTTCTCATTGTACGCCAGGTGGTTCTTTTCTTTTAGTGCCATCCCAGAGGACAAATCATTGTATAATTTGCCTAAATGTGAAAGGAAAACAACACATACACACACACACACACACACACAACACAGAAACGCCCATTACAGCAAAAGATGACCCTGGAAATCCGGTTTGTGTTATAAATCTTGTTAATGTGCTACGTATGTATAGTTTGAATGTTAATGTTTCTTGAATTATATAGTTATTAGTTTTCTTCTGAACTATTCCAATTAGTGTCGGAATTTTGTTATTGATATCAACATTGGTATTCAGTTGAAGTGACGTTGCACACTGAAGGTGTAGAAGACACAGTTTAAAGAAATAATTACGACCCAAAATTTTCTGGGAACACTCATTTTGGGTGTAAAACTTTAAGGGTCCTTACGTTGCAGCTTGATGACTCTTCATATGATAAGTCCAAAAAAAAAACATTGGGTTTTAATTACTCAACGTTTCCCCTTACAGCTTCTATATGGGTATGAACACTTACTGTTATATTTCGTTCAAAGCCGTAGGTCGGGAGTGGGAGAATTTGGAGTAGACCCCCCTGATATTTCTTTCGTTCCTACAATATAAGTAAAGAGAGAGCAAAGACATTTTTTTTTCTAAGGCATACCGTTTGTAAGTATATGCAAGTTGCATGTTTGTAAACCATATATGTATATTGAAAGACTATTGTATTTTTGTAATGGGGATTCCACATTGTTAAAATTGTCAAAAAATCAACCTCATTTTTGCAGAAAAAGAAATACCCAAAATGTTAAATATAAACCAAACTGAGTACTGGAAGTAGCAACGTCTTTTTTTTTTGGGGGGGGGGATATTTTATTAGGGATATTCTCTTCCCACTTCCCGAACCGAATTTCTAGTTTTTACACCCTTGAATAATCTGTAAAGCGAACGTAGGTTAATAAAAAAAAAAAGAAAAGAAAGGTCCTTTGGGCCCTGCTGTAAGATAGTTAATATCCAATATTCAGGGGTGTAAAACTATAAGAAACAACATTATGCTGTAACTTGATGACTCCAAGCGATAAGTCCAGTGAACATCTGTTTTGGTTACCCAACGTTTCGCTTTTACTTTTCCCGTGGTTTTATTTAATATTTCCTATTTGTGAGTTGTGAGATCTTTTTATGTAGATGATACATAACAATTCTTTGATATTTCTCCAGTCGGAATCGCAGGACGATTCAAATGTTCTTGAAAGAATCTCGGAAACCTTCCCGAGTACATCTTACCGGGCAGCATTGGAGTCTGTGCTAAGTTTCTTCTAATACTGTCAGGTAAAGATGTGTATGGGGTTTCTCAAGCAGCGTTTCCGGAAATGATGCCGAATGAAGAGATTTCTCAGGAAATGACGTCAGAAGGAAATATTTAGGATCGACTTAATTTCTAATGTTCGTTTAAAAAAACTTTTTCTGCTACTATCTTTGCGAGTACAGAAATACAATTTTGTGAGTGTGTGTGTGATAACAAAAGTAATAAGGTATAGAAAAAAAATTTAGAATACTCGCATACAAGTTAGTATACGGAATTAACTCAATGTCCACCCAACGCGTAAGGGGTTATGTCAACACTCGACCATTGCTCGTGTCCATTCTTTAATAGCTGGCTTCCCTTAAAGAGTGGGTTAACATATGTAACTTGTGTTGCTGAGAAACGTCCACAAACCCACTTTAAAAGGCATTCACCCAAACTAGTTGAAGTAATTTATTTTCAAGCTAAAATGTAGTTAGTTTGTTAAGCACAAA